CAGACCCATCAGTCTCTCGTCTTTTGTACTGAAAACTTTCGAGCGGCTACTGGACATGCACATTCGCTCGAAACTAGGCAATGGAGAATTGTCTACTGCACAGCATGCTTACCTAAAAGGGCGCTCCACAGAATCTGCGCTCCATGAGGTCATTTACAAGGTAGAACCATCGCTGGAAAATAAACAATATACATTGGCGGCCTTCCTGGATATAGAAGGGGCGTTCAACAACGTTAGTCTGGAGGCGATAGAGCAATCACTCAGAATCCTGGGGATTGAGAACTTCCTGGTAAACTGGATGTCTACCATGCTTCGTACAAGGATTGTAAACGCTAAGCTAGGCACCAGCGTAGTCATCAGTCATCCAAAGCGGCGGACTCCGCAAGGCGGGGTACTGTCGCCGCTGCTGTGGCTTTGCGTACTAAACAACATTCTTCTAAGACTCAACAGGGAAGGGGTCAAAGTTGTTGCGTATGCAGACGATGTAGTGATTATGGTATCCGGATTGTGCATAAATGTGATAATCGAAATGCTTCAAAGATCTTATGCTATGGATGTACAAGGCGGTGATTCGCCCAATTATTGCATACGGTTCGCTGGTTTGGTGGAAAGCCGTAGAGATGAACTACATACGCACAATGTTAGGCAGGGTACAAAGGTCAGCCTGCATTGCGATTACTAGGGCGATCAGATCATGTTCAACGGAAGCATTGAATGTCATCTGTCATCTGCCACCGATTGATCTTTTTATCAAGGAAAGTGCTTCACAGAGTGCGCTCAGGTTGAGGGAACTTGGATTGTGGAAAGAACGTACGTATGGGCATGGACGTATCCTATATTCTTTCAACGACCCAAGCATTCGCGAAAAACTGACTACATTTGCCCTTCGCTTTTCTTCAAGAGAAACTTCGGCACGATTTTTCCATCAAGAAAGGAGTGGAAGGATCCTATTTTTACTGAACGCTTCGAAGTATCCATTTTTACGGACGGTTCAAAAATGGATTGTGGGGCAGGGGCGGGAATTTTTTCAACCGACCTCCAAATTGAAGAGTCTATTCGATTACCTAATTCGGCCAGTGTTTTTCAGGCAGAGGTCTTTGCCATAAATGAGGCGTGCTAAATAATTTTAGCCTCGAAGCTAGCGAGAACCAGAATTGCTATTTTCTCAGATAGTCAGGCAGCGATCAAGGCTCTTGGCTCTGTAAGCATCACCTCCAGCATAATAACAGGAGTGGAAACTTCTCGAAAACGTGCAAGTACATATCTACAGCTTGGAGTCCTGCCAATGTAGTTTCCCTTCTTGATTGAAGTAATCTTCGAATCCTTTCCTTACGGACTGACCAGCATTTTTAGATTTTTGTTGTTGCTCACCAGATGGTGCAGCGGATACAGATGACGCGACTGAGTATGGCAAATCTAAATATCCATTCTTGTAGCTCAACATATTATGTAAAAAGCAACACGTTTTCGTTATGATCTCTACATTTTCTACGGACATGTTCATTTTATGCTGTAGAATTCTAAACCTGTTGGCCAGAATTCCGAAGGCATGCTCCACAACATGTCGAGCGCGAGAAATACGAATATTAAATATTTGTTTTTTCTTTTATATTTGTATTGTATGAGTACGGCTTCATAATGTGTTTCTGAAGCGGGAATGCATCATCGCCGACTATTACATAGGGAAGTTTTCGCCCGTTCCCAATTGTTTCGTCTGGCGGGAAGTATTTATCTGCATCATCGATAACTTTTTTCAAGTCACTCTGTAACAAAACGCCTGCAACATGGGTGCGTCCATTACAACCCACATCTATATATATAAAACGGCAATCAGCATCGACTAAAGCCAATAACACAATACTGTTAGTCCCCTTGTAATTATAGAAATATGAGCCGTCTTTCCGTAAAGACTGAAATACAATATGTTTCCCATCCAACGCTCCTATACAGTGGGGAAATTGCCATTTCATCGCAAAGGTTTCTGCAATAATTTTCCATTCCGTAATTGTTGTCGGAAACTATAAGAACAATAAAATAA